TCTTGAGCTTGGTGATTGCTCAATTGGTAATGAAGCTATCGAGGAGATAGCTGACAACTGTACTAATTTGAAATATCTTAGTTTGAAGGGATGTAGAAGGATTAGTAATGAAGTGATGAAAAAACTTAATTCAAAAATTAAAATCGAACATCCAGATTATTCAGATGATGAATTCTCCGATTCTGATTTACCTCCACTTATTCCAATCTTTACCAGTGGACAATATGGGATAGCTATAATATATTAAATAGTCTTGCTCGAGCCATTGATCAAGGATTATATTTGTTTGTGGCAAGATCTTTAGAAAGATAATTAAATATTTAAGCATTAGTTATTTTTTTGGCTAAAGATATACAATATATAATATAAATTATCGACCAATCACATCACGGCGGGATGCTATATATATCTGTGATAATTTTCCCTTCTTTACTTTTGATTTTAGACATGGACACTGACTGATGTTAGCTGATTTTTTGACGAAAACCTCATGTAATTGATGAGGAGAGACGTTTGGAAATAATGGTAGTCCCTCTCCAGTAAACCAAATTTTCTTTACCCCCATTTTGCAAAATTTTTGTAATATCACACTTGGAACATCTTCTAAGGGGCCGTGGAATTTCTCAAACTTCTGGAGGTACACTCTCGCATTTTTATCGGCTTCTTCTGCTATTTCTTGATTAGTATAACCGACAATATCAAGTTTTTCCTGAATTGAGTTTATATCCTCTTTCAAGTATAAAAGCAAATTAAATAATTTCGAAAGTGATAAATCGGAAGAACCTCTAATGTTTTGATTTACCACAATATTATATCCCACTGCCAGAATGGGGTTACCATCAATGTTGAGATTCTCCTGTATCGATATTAAATCTCCCACCAATTCTAACAACAATTCATATGAATCAGCAAGTGTTTTCCCATCGGGTCTGTGTTCTATTTGCTTTAATGTATTAATATTAATACCAAGTTTTTCTTGAATTGCTATTATATCCTTCTTCTTATA